ACTCAAGTATCGCGAAACAATACGAGCTTCCGAAGATAGGTAGAAATAATATTCTTATCGAATACTGTCTATGTATAATACGGCGTAAGTTTGGCATGCACCATCAGATATAATAATAGGCCAACTTACATAAAACAATTGAAACTCTACCTTTTCTTTAAGTAAGCAGGATTCAAAGAAACGGAGGGAGAAAGCAATTGGGAAAAACGATGTCTGCATCGTGATTTTAATTGGCCGTGACGATAAACGTAGCACTCAGCAAAGTAGGTAATAACGATTAAAAGTCTAATCGGCTGAAAACTTGTTAACTTTCGCGAAACTGCCGGCATGGGATTCCATCTCACACCGAGCGTTAGCTCGCATAATAAAAGATCTTGGAAGCTGAAGAGAAAATCGAGAATATATTCTAAGGCAGAGAGAGATGACTCGAAATCAATCGATCGTAGATTGGCATAACACGGTGGTTCGTTAGAAAAAAAAGTTAATTCAGTTTTCCATAATTACAACTAAATTTCAGTGATTATGCACTAAATACCTAAATATGATTTTATGCCTTTTCCCTTTCCTTTTATGAGATAAATGATTTTTTTTTATACTTAACGTATACACTATTAGACATAAAAAAGCGATAGTAACCCAATCCCTCGAGTTAAATAATATTTTATATTATTTTTAATTTACATATATATATATGTCAAAATATAAATCAATCTATTTCTGTGATTAACTTCGAAATAAATAACGTTCATACCAATACATGCACTTAGTAAATAATAAATTAAATTTGAGTCAAATTTAATACATTCTTAAATTAAATTATTTAATTATTAAATTAAGTTAATGTTATATTGAGTGAAATCAGTAGTAACTTTTAGAAATAATTTAAAATAATTCAAATTGAATATAATTTGACATTTTGGATTTAACAATTATGTATGAAAATACCGAGAAAAATATAGATATTCTTTAAATATTTACACGTTAAAAAAGATCCATTTATGAACTGTAATATCTAGCACGTTATACGAATCCTCTCTCTTTTTCTCCTGATATTTTCCATTCGTATGAATTCAAGTATTACTATGATCTTTTACCGACGATTCGCGCCAAGCATCCGCGAACGTGATACTCCGAAATTCAAGAACATAATCCGAATCCCGGGAGCACAATTTGAGATCCGGCAAACTCGTGTTCGCGCAAGAAAGAACTTGCAGGGGAGGAGGAAAGGACGACTGAGTTTCACGCCCCGGTATAAAATGCTCGCACTTAGCACCTTACGCCGGCGTTTCTGCGATCCGAGAGAACGAGAGAGTCGCGAGAGACGTATCGCATGCACGACGAGAGCTCGAGGTTTTAGCGAACATCTGCCGGGCGAGCTGATTTCCAGCCGACGATAAGACCTCGAAATGTGGCCGAGCCCGAGGCGGCTAGTATAGCCACGCCAAGATTCATTAGTTAACCTCGGTGGCTCAGTATTTTTGCAGACTCATTTCGTAGCGTAGCCCTGCACATAGCCACATATACACGGCATTGCGCCGTTGAAGAATTCGGAAAAATGCGAGGGCAAGAGAGAAAAATAGAGATTGCAACTATTGGTTTGAATATCAAAAGGGGAGTACCGTACTCGTAGAAGCGCACGATAAAAGAACGGTTCTCTTTCACGAGGCGAAATATCGGCATAATATCGACGCGAAAGGCGCGACAATCGTTCGTAAACTTTAAATTGCCGCGTGTTACGCGAGATATCGTAAAGCCGAACGGATAAGCGCGTGACATACGAAATTACATCGTCTAGCAGCGCAAATCGGTATTTTTGCTACGCTCGAATTTGTATACTTTAAAAATACTGAAAGGTACTTATTCGCGATTTTCCCTGCTATGTCCCTCATGCATAAAAACAAAATCATACCGATTTGTATTTCATAGGAACGTCACATAGTTGAAATCAATCGAACGATGCTAGAATTGACTGGATTTGAGAATTCAGGCTAATCATATTTGATTGCTGTTCATCCATTTTCTCCATTGAGAGCGTCCATTGATACATGTATAATATATAATTTATACAATGTTCGAGAAATACGTGCGCCGATTAACTTTTTAGAAAAATTTCGCCCCAACAAACTTTATCTTTCGATGAACGATATACACAGAAAAATAAAGAGTAATCGAGCGAATACGATTATAATTCTCGAGAGCTACAGAGGGTGTATATCGACGCGTGAGAATAATGGGTGTAGAGTTATCTCACACTTCCTATCCGAAACGGTTCAGTCAGCTGGAATAATGCATGATTAAAACTCGTTCAAAATATAAGGTAGATATATTAGAACTAATGCACTACTGAAACTGCAAAATGATGATTATAGAACTGATAAGGAAAATTTCATCAGACTTTGAAATCGTATCGTCGAGAAAGTTAAATCAACTCTTTGCTTCTGCGAGTTTATATTAAAGATATTTAATTATTAAATATTTAGTGTCAAATACAGAAGAGAAAATTTATCTCTGAAACGCGAAAGAAAAAAAATGTATATATATAGAGATTACTCGATAAATTTGAGATGTTTTAAACATCACGTTTAACGAGACAGTTTGACAAGATCGGTCCAGAAGAAACTCGTGCAAACTGTTCGTCCTAATTTTCGTTAAAAGGCAGTCTCGACAGGAATTTATCGACAGATATATCGCTGAAATTTTATCTCTATAAATCTTCATTATTTTTTACTGCATAATTACTGTAAATGTATATCTTTTTCCAAGAATAGCAGTTTTTTAAAAATAGTTTTATATAGAACGAACGTGCTAAAATATTTAAAATGTAATTGGCTAAATAAATCTGAAAATAATTTTGTTAAACTAAAATAAATATGTAGGACGCTCAAGCTAGTTACCAGAATGTTAAAATTTTTTGTAGAATGGTTCGTTTTGCTTAATCATTTTATATAATTTTGGCGGTCCAACAAAATCATTTTCAGATGCGTGTACACTGTTAGAAATAAAATGTTAATTTTAACTTAAAGACGTGTTTAAATTAAAAAATTAACATTTTATTTTTAATGTGTATTTAGCTAAATTCTTACATGCTACAGCAAGATCGTTCTTTCCATGTAGAATCTGAATTCTACACGAGAGAACGGTTTTATTGAAGTACACACTTCAAAATTTAATTAAATACAGGTCTGAAAATAATTTTGTTAAATCATCAAAATAATTATGTAAGACACTTAAACTGATTAGGAGAATACCGAAACTTCTTGCAACTCATTCTAACCAAACTTGAGTGTTCTACAGAATTACTATTTTCAGAGAATAAATTATTTTTCTCTATCTAATCAAAATTTTTGATACTTTAGATACAAAACAGTTTTTCCTGTCTACACTGAAAATGAATTGTTTATTTAATTAAATTAATTTAGTTGATCTCTATATTTCTTTCCACGAAGAAAATGTATGTATTTAAGTTAAACATAAAAATATAGCGCTCATAACTTTATATGTCTGTCCAGCTATTATTATTTTCGCAGTCGTCGGGTTTAGTTAACTTTAATGATATGTACAATTATAAAACGATGGGAGTGGTGATGGGATTTTTAAAATTATATTATATACAAACTTATCTTTTTAAAAAAAGATAAAAAAGGTGCTAAGAGTGTGTATGCTGTTCGAAAAATATATTTAACTTAAATACATACATTCTTTGATAAAAGAAATAAAGAAAACTGAATTAATTTAGTCGAATAAACATTTTTCTTTTAGGAATAGATATATATACGTTTAATAAATATACATTTTCAAAGCCGCTGGTGGTTATCGATAAAAAAGATGCTGTAGTTGATGGAATCAATTCCTTTTTTACGCTAATTAAACCGTTGTAAAAAGCCGCGCGAAGAAGTAGCGTGTCACGTGCACATAGAGACGCGCGCACACATTCACACACGTATACATACGTGTGCACGGAAGCTCGACCGGAGCGCCGAGCTCGAGTTCGCGTATGCGATAAACTCACCTACGCGTTTCTACGTGACATAACATACGAGTGCAAGAGAACGATCCGTCGTCCGTCCAACGCCTACGACTCCCCTTCGCATTTGCGACAGCCGCAATCGGCTCGCCGCGAGTGCAAGAGCGTAGTACATCAATATATGAGGATCGCGAGGTGATGCGTTTGGGCGCGACCGCGTGCCGAGTTTCGCGTGCGGCGCATGCGCGCGCATTCCGCTTACTCTCTCTCTCTCTCTCTAATCGAGAGGGCATCGCGTGGCAAGTCTTCATAGTGACAACGAAGAAGCTTCTTCTCTCCGTTTCACCAGTGCACCTCGCACGTAGTACTCTCGCTCGTGTACGTCTTTGTCGCGCCGCTGGATGCATTCGTTCTCTCGGAGAGCACCCAGCTCTCTCTCTCTCTCGCTCACCTGCGCCATCCTTGTCAGGTCATCCGCGCGCGCCGCAGCTCTCTCGCTTCAACACGAGTCGCAGTCTCCGTCCCGCTAAGCTCGTCACCTGCTCTCGCTCTCGCCGAGGCTCGCGCATCTTCGTCTTTCTCACACATCGCTCTACCGCGCACTACCGCTCTTTCGTTCGTCCCGCTCGCGCGACGGTTACAACAACGGATCTCTTTGTCCTACGCTCGTACTCTTTCGCTACTATGGCCTCTGCGGGGAATGGTGGAGACTGGAGTCACGGAAGAAGTCGGGTGGTGGGGGAAGCCGGGTGGGTAGCCGAGTGGGAGCGAGCACGGCCGAAGCGAAGGGAAGAACAGGAGGAGAGGGGAAAACGGCTGGCGGGCTAGTGGGGGAAAGGCAGCGTGTGGCGTAGCGGGGTGATCAGGGGGTGATGGCCGCGGCGAGAGGGAGAGAGAGAGGGAGAGAGAAAGAGAGAACGAAGGAGCGAGCGCGAGAGGGGCGGACGACCCCTCTAGCCGCTAGCCGGGCGATGCCACTCAACTGAATCCCCGCTCCGTTCTCGGGTTCTCGCGGCAGTCTGACGCCGGTCGCGCAGTCAGCATGGCTGGATTTTCACGCAGTTTTTCGCCGGTCCTCCCGTGCTGAGGGCCTCGGAGTAAACTACTCGAGTAACGTCGCACTCGCTCGCCGTCGTGCGTGGCGTCGATCTCGCGCCAACTCCGTCACGTCGCGCTACGTCTCCCTTCCCGTCGCGCGTAGTGCCCTGTCCAACTTACACGTTTGACCAGGAACGAGAAGCCCGAGAAAGGACGCCAGATGCTTGAACCTAACCTCCAAGCGCGAAGACCGCCCCGAGGGATCACGCTCGCGGCCGCGACTCGCGTCCAACGTGGCTTCCGTCCCGCCGATTTTATTACGCCGTGCTAAACCCACAGGGATCCAAACGATCTCTCGCAATCGATTCCCCGTCTATGCGATATTCCCCGCAACGCGTCGAGTGAAACTGAGAGAACAGAAATGAGCGGTGAGAAGTTCCGCGCGTCTTCATTACGAAACTCTCCGGGAGGCATCTCGATTGTGTCGTGTGGTGATTAACGGCGAGAGGGGCGAAGGAGAGGCAGCCGCGCGGTGCAGCAAATGACAGTGCAGTGAGAGAAGGGCCCAGCGATTCGTGGACAGAGAAAGAAAGGTTCTCCGTTCCGGGCATCAGGCAGTAAATTTTCATCTCGAGGGAAGAAGAAAGAAGATTCTCGGCTCCCTTGGAACCTTCTCGTCGGAGAAAACCGACCGAAATTCTATGGAATTTTCCTAACGGTGAGTAAGGACTATTGTCAACAAACCCGCTCCGAAAATTCAACGTAACAGTTCCGGAAGGGTGATGTATTCACGTTTTGTTTACTGCCGGACCTTTAAACGCGCGTCATTCAATCGAGCGAGACGATAAGGCGCGCGCATAAATAATGATCGCGACATCGATCGTAAACAAACCGCCGTACTTTTCAAACACGTGACGACTGGCGTAGCAAGTGTGCGTGATTGCAGATACGATTATTATTATCAGAACCGATGGCAGATGTTGAGTGCAAGAAATAAATAAGACTATTAGTCCGTTTAATTATCAATAAATATCACGATCTGTATTTTTACTGCGCACCTGCGATCGTCTAGATTTCTGATTTTTTTATCTGAGTCTCAGTTAAACGCTGTTTCGTATTAAATAAATGAAATTTATCGTTAACATGGATCATAATGCATAGCAAACGGCACACAGCGATTCTGTTATCTATTATTTTCTGTGAAACATCTTTTTTCTCTTTTTCTTACTCCGTGTATTATCGGCACTTTCTGCTCATTTAGTTATCTAATACGCGTGTTGATACATTTTGTTTTTATTTCTATTTTTCTTGTATACTGTGAAAAAAATTGTTCAGTTGACTAGATTAGTTATTTGACTAAATTAATTTAGCTGTTTTTATTTTTTTTCATTGGAAAGTGTACTTTCTAAAACTTTTAGAGTGAAATCTCGTTCTTAAAAATTGAAATTGAGCCATTCTCTTTCAAGGCTGGCTTAATTTTCACTCTTTAGAGATTTCATTCCAAAATATTTAGAGTATGTATTCAAGTCAAATATGATAGCAAAATAGAAAAAAATTATTTATTTAATTACATTAACTGAATTGTTTTTTTTTCTTGTCTTGTATTTGAGTCAAATATAACATATTTGATTTACATACATACATTCTTCATCGAAAGAAATAAAACTAAATTAATGTAATCAAATGAATCATTTTTTTTTTCAGTATACTTACAATGTGTATAATCAATTATGTTTAAACGCTTGAGTGGATTTCATTCCAGAGTGCTTAATAAGTGGTGATTTTCTCTCTCTTTTTTTTTCATTCCGTAAGTTGATGACGCACGTGCGTCACCTACACATATACTTTTACGAGAGATAAATTATCCTTTTTATCTCGGAGCCACGGAAGCGATAACTAAGATTCTTCACTTTATTTGTGCGTTTATGCTGTTCATTTCCAACAGCCGAAGTTCGAGACTTTAATCTTGAAGTACGCTTAATAATAGAGCTTGAAAATCGTTGCCGAGCGAACAACTTCGCTGACACGTTTGTTGCGCGTCATAATTTCGATGAACCTAACACGACAGAGTGAGAGAGGTGGAGAGGCGTCGCGTAGTCGCGAGTTCGCATCATTAAGCCGCTGGCTGCAGATTCTTGGATAACGTCGACCTCCACGTCATCGGGATCGGGAGGAAGACGAATGCGCCGCAATAATAGGACCGTAATTCCACAACTAGTTCGTGGTATTAAGCCGCGACCGTCGCCGCTGCGAATAGTCCGTCTTCATCATGATGAATTTAATTAGCCGTGACTTGCGTAATTAAATATTCGGTCGTGCACGCGAAAGACACGCGCTCTCACCTCCACCGATATTCCTGGCAAGCGACAGCGTGTGTGTGAATAGAAATAAATTCCGCGGCACATATTTCGCTTAATATATTAAGCCACCACCCGCCACAATTTTCTTGGAACAGGAAAATTGAGAGAAAAATTTTAAGAGAAAAATTTTTGGTATTTGTAATTATAATTATGTGTTACTATAATTATTATTATTACTACTATAATAGCTACCCAGATAGACAGATGTACATCTATTTTACTGCAACTTTACGTTGATTCGATCATCAAATACTTCATAGGTGAGCCGATTGTGATTCCAAATATTGTAGTCATATTTAGTAAATTAAAAAACGAAATACCACATGATGCAAATATGATTACATATAAGAAACAAAAATCTGATTCTTAGTGTCTCATATTTACATCATATTTGCATCATGATATTTCGTTTACTAAATATTGCTGCAATATTTCGAATCACAATCGGCTCGTCTATGAAGCATTGGATGATTCTAAGATAAACGTATAAAAGTTGCTGTAAAGTATATGTTCATTTGTCTACTGGAAATATTTTAACGAAAAAAAAATTTAATTATAATTTAATTTGTTTTTTATTTTCAGAATATATATTTATTAATTAACTTTATTACTTATTTTTATGTATGTACAAATTCTTATAATTATATAACGCAATTATAAATATTTTTGAAAACGCATGGAGTATCGACGGGATTTGAAACCTAAGATCTTTTGAGTGGTAGCCTACTTACGCTAACGTTGAGCTAATCGCACGCTTGTCTGAACACTTTTAAATTTAGCATATATTGAATTTTATTTTGTCATTCGTACTGATCATATATGTATGTAATATGCATGTATGTAATATGTATGTATATATAGGGTGTCTGATAACTCCTGACAACGCGCGTAAGCAGGTAGAGCGGACTAAATTGATTGTGAGACGAAAAGTCCTCTACTATTTTACAATTTTCGCAAGTTAACAAGATATTAATTATTAAAAATCGTCGAATATTGGTTTTCAATAATTTTTTACTCAAGTACTATTAAAAAACTTTACGAAAAAATAGCAAGAGACAAAAATTGTTTATTTTCTTATAGAATTGTGAGAATTTTTTAAAATTTTTTTCAGAATTTTTTAGTACCGCATTTTCTCATGTTGGTAAAAATTATAGTGTCTTACTTCATATGGCGTAAAATAAGGAAAAATTTACAAATCATTTATGCTTACTATAATCACATGAGGATTACGAATCCTTTCAACAAAATTTGGTAATCAAAATCGACATTTGTTTACCCAAATTTTACAGTATATTTATCTTACTTTATCCGACATGAAATAAATAAAAATTTACAAATCATTTATGGTTTTTATGACATCACATCAGGATCACAAATTCTTTTAACAAAATTGCGGCATAAAGTAAAGAAAAATTTAAAAATTATTTAAGCTTTCTATAGCATCACATGATAATTGTAAATGTGCGTCATTATATGATGTATTTCATTTAATTATGTATGATGTAAATATTTCATATAGTGATATTGAAAAAAGAATATTATAAATCTGAAGGTATATTTTCATACATATGTTTTTGTAATTCTATAACGAAAAATTTAATCATTCAAATAACCTAAATTTTATATTTACTTTAATATAAACGTTTTTGCTTTTATAATGTCATAAATGATCATAAAATTGGTCTAAATTTTCAGTAAATTAATTTGTGCATATCGCGATCATCATAAGTCTATCTGGGTAGTAATTAGTAATAATAATTATGTATAGTTTTATGAACAAATATATACAGTTGACACTTGAAAATGTGACTATAATAATAATTATTATTATCACAATAATAGCTGTAATTATTATAATTTAACTATAATTTATAGTTATTTTTCTAGAACAACCATAAAAAATATAGTTAACTCAAAAAATGACTATAAACTATAATAGTTAACAATCTGTAATAACAAGGCTGTGGAGCCTAGTCGGTTGTTGATGCTTAGTGTATATTTACAACATTAACATAAAAATTATAAAGTTGACATTTATTATTAAAAATGATAAGACATACGTTTCGACCTTTTCACATCAAGCCATCTTCAGTGTCACCAAATAAATTAGTATTACATACGCAAACGTTTAAAATTGTGTTCCAATGTCCACCCTATCAATAGTACATCAAATTTCTAGACGCAACGTATTCGTATAATGATGTTGATGAATCTTCGGTGGTGCGACTCCATGTTCAATATTCCATAATACTATTCATATGTATAAAGAGATTCTCATGTATATGATATAATTTATAACTGCCTTTTTTTGTAAATTGTTATATAATCGGTAGATTTCTGTCTTAGTTCACCATCTCGACAATAATCAACATTGTCATTTTCAATATATACATTGTCATTTTCAGTGACAATGTATATATAGGAAGACGATCGAAATAATTTATAAGTAGAGTTACTTTAAATTAAAATCAAAATAATTTAATTTGGTGCAAAACAGGTATTAAATATTCTAATTTATCCACTTAAATTTGCTTTTGCTAATTTAATAAAGATTTTCGCATATAAATTATATATATTCGATCTCATTTTGTAGTAGTGAGTAGTGATGCATTCGAGTGGTAGGTATTAAATATTCTAATTTATCCACTTAAATTTGCTTTTGCTAATTTAATAAAGATTTTCGCGCATATAAATTATATATATTCGATCTCATTTTGTAGTATAGTGAGTAGTGATGCATTCGAGTGGGACGAGACGAGGAAATACCGATACCGAGATTTGGTCTCGACAAAAACAAATGATTGATACGATTTTCTCATCTCGATGGGTCGATATTCTCGCTTTTCGAGATTCTCGAATTTTATCGCGAGACATTCAAGAATATCGACTATCTCGTTTCATTTTCGTTTGTAAAAGGCCAAAATGGAAGTAAATTCGCAATTTGCAAATTGTGTACGTTAGACCAATGACGGTGGTAATGTTTATTTCTTATTTCGATATTTCTCCGATTTTTTCGAGACGAGACCGAGACGAGAAAAATAAATAATATATGATAATCTCGGAAACGATATTTTTAATGATACGAGAAATTCCGAGACGATATTCGAGATTTTCATATCGAAATGCATCACTAGATGTGAGAAAAATTTTTAACGAAGAGCGCGAAAATGGCAATTTACTTCTAATTATTTATTCGTTTCAACGCTTCCAAATTAACAGAGCGAATGATAACAAATCGATATTGACAATAAGACATCATAAAAATAGTTCTAAATAAAAACCAGTAACCCAAATTGATCTCTATTAACGATGTAAAATTATTTTTTGTAAACAAAAGAGGAAACGTCATATGATATTG